ATGCACTTCTACAGTTCACCTTTCAGCTGAAACTCACTGCACTAAACCTGCATGTCCAGGGAAGCCAAAGAGCAAATAATGTGACAAATATAAAGGATTTATACCAGGAACTGAGTAACTGCTTCAGGACTCGGACTGGAATTAATCTGCAATGCTGCACAGAGGTAAAATTCAGAGAGGAAGATATTTCAGAGATGGCATTAGGCTTAATACAAGTCTCTCTGCCCACAGAACTGCGAAGAGCTGACTGGTGAGTAGCCTGTCTCCAGAAGCACAAGACCAAGGACAACAGTTGCTGTTTATCTTCATAATTTGCTTGTCTCCGACTCCAGGGGCTGCTAACCTGCTACAGTTCAGCAAGCCCACATTCACAGCCACCACTGTATGCCAATTCAGAGGGATAAACTTTCTTCACAGCATCTCATTTGCCCTTTTTTTCCACCAAGATTCCCACATCGTGCTCCTTAAAGCGACACCGGTGGTTCACAATAGCACTCACAGCCCTGCTTTTACCTTTTTATCAGTACAAGCCACTTGTTGCCAGCTTAGCTCTTTTTCCTATCGAAAGCACATTTGTCAGGCAGCCAAGGTTTTGTAAAAATAGTGTCCAGAGGGCAACAGTCTCTGCCTCCACAGAACCACGCCAGAAAGATGCTTGACAGAAACTTCCTTCCACTGAACTTCTCCCCTGCCTCAAGTCCTCTTTGCAAGAGAAAACTGGACTAGTATTTCACATCATTTTTAAATCATCAAGTTAAGCAAATATAAACCTTTGCCAGTGCCCTCTTAGTTCTGAAGGAATGGCAGATTTTGATTTGCCTTAAAACTAACCCCTAAAGACTTACTCTAACCCCAAAACAAATCTGGCCTAAAGCAAAACAGGAGCACCCACACACTGCTACAACAGTCCAAAAACATGAGATAAAATCCTAACTCCAGTTTGAATTGGGCAACTGTTTTGTAACCAAGGTGCAACATAGGTGCGGATCCCAAAATACCCCATCCTGGTTAGAAGCAAGTTTCCTGCACTATACAGCATCTCAGACAACACTAACTTAACCAAAAAGGCAGATGATAAATCTTATAAAGCCAAATTTCTCAGATACTACATTAATACACACATACAAACAAACAAAAACAACACCAAGACACCACCGGATAAATAAGCAAGGATGTGAAAAGAGAGGCTCAAGGATATGCTGCAGACAGGTAAATTCAAAGATCCTGGCGAACACAGTAGTAAGGCTTTGATTCTTTCACTCCCAGTGCTCTACTCAAGTCTTAGCATTAAGGAGGCAAGCCAGCAAAAGGAAACAGTGAGCAGTACAAAAGAAGTGCAAGGGTACTTGGGTATTTGCAGAACACTTACCCTCACCTGAGCAGATGAGAAAAACCAGGAAGCTTAGGCATGACTTTTCACTAGAATGTACTAATTCAAGACTGTTTGCTACTTTAAGTATGATTTTTTTACCTTTTTAAAATACGGTGTTTACTCAGTTCATAGATTTGATTTCTATGTGAAACAGCAAAAATGTCACACTTGCTTTTAGAGAGCCAAAAAATCTTTGAGAATAAATGTTGTTCTTTTATTAAAAAAAAAAAACCCTTAAAATCCAGGGGGGTGCTGTACACAAGGGGCACAAAAGAAAAGTACTGTGATGCTGAAACTTAATGAATTTACAATTCTTACTATTCCATCAGTGCTCTGAAATTAATCAGAATAGGAACAAAAAGCCAAACCATAAATGCCTGATTTCTCCTGGGTAAACTGGTAGTTAAACTGCAGGGAATTTATTTTAATTCTAGCAGCAAGCAGGGGGCTTGGGAGAGCCCACATCAGATTAGCTGCAGCGTTTTACAGACGGGTACTATTGAATTCCACTACAGCCTGGTTCTGAGAGCGTGTTTCCACCCCATGCTGAACCCGGGAAGGCGGACGTTATGTGCCCCCGCCTCCCTCTCTCCCAGCCTTTCAGGAAGCTATGAAGCTAATTTTCCCCAGCAGTATTCCCTGGAGGAAAAGTTCACTTCTCATGAAGGTAACATGTATTTTTTAATTATTATTTTTTATGCCTCCCCAGGGAAGGTGAGGAGGGGGAGCTTCCTTGCTCAACAGAGAAAGAAATTTTCCTGTGTCAGTGCCAAGAATAGACACCCTAAATTCAGCGATCCTAATCTCCAGCCATCCATTAGCAGCAGGGTGGGACCAGCTGATTCAGTTTTTCTATTAGCTAGTGACTTTGTGAACTAAAATAAGTCACTGTACCACCCAATTGTTCCTGCTGTTCTCTGCTCTGCGAAAGAGCAGACTTAATAGTAGCTACCTCAGCTAACGCTGTAAGTACTTCCCCAGCAGGTCCTTTAAAACTGGCACAATCCTCTTCCCACCAACTCTCCCAAATCCCTGCGTGCCCCTGTAACTTTGTATCATAAACTTTTGTTAGGACGCTTGCTCCACTATCCTTTTGGCACACATCAGGGAAAATGCCCACTCTGAGTATCTACAGTACCACAGGAGCCAGAATCTAAGAACAAACCTAACCTGCAGACAGACTATTTGATGGCAACTGTTCATTTACAGGGTCAATTAGCATTCATACAGACAGTAATCAAGGCCCATATACAGGGCACACTGCGTGACAGATGAAGACAGGACAAAATAATAAAACCCCCCAGCTCTATTTTAAAAGGCATGGGAAGATATCAAAACAATTCACTAATGTATCAGCCTAATAAATGACTCTGTTGGTCAAATGTTCAATAACCCACATTCATTGATTATTTTCTGGACCAGGAAATAAAATATGCATAATTTGATTAACATTATTCCATTATTTACACAGTAAAATCAATAGCAGAATAAACTGGCAAAGGATTTGAAAATAACACTAAATAAAAACATTTAAAAATGAATGACCGAGGCTAATGGCAAACTCTGTTAACCCAGTCAGATAACTCACACATGGTACTCTGCAAGTTTTCAACTCCCATAGACTAGTGCCAAGCATTAGGAGCAAAAATAAAGAAAGAATCTGAGACCGGTTCATTTCAGTTAAACAAAATGCAAGCATGTGTCTCCACAGGTCACACCAACTTCTGTTCTCATTCATATTCCTAGAGCCAGAGAAACAAAAGGAGTTGGTAAGCCAGCTCTCTCTGGATACAAGCAGCATGGGCCACACACAAGCAAGTAAATTTTTAGCAAAGATAAAGGCAAATATTTCTTGCGTTCGGATAGTTCTAGAGCATCCCAAGAATTAATATCCAGACATGCACATTTGGTCTCAGCTTCTCCGCAGCTTAGAGGACAGAACACTTTGGACCCATTGTTCTAGTTCAACATCACCACCAGCCAAAGCGAAAGCTAGCCGGCCATTTCAAACAAAGGAAACAATACACCTGCTACCAAAATTTTGAAGAATGACTGCTGATTTTGGGTGTCCTATATAACCCATATTAATAGAGACAAAATTTTCAGAAAGCTACAGATCTCCTTCCTCCTGCCTACCTTCCTTCCCAGTGACAAAATTGGGATCCAAACAACCAACACCTTTGAAAAGAATGGCTTCCAAAGTCAGTAGTAGAAATTCAAAGGAGAAACTTTTTTTTTTTTTAAAAAAAAAAAGCTAAACCAGCAACATCGAAACCTCACAGAAAAGGAGGAAATACAAATTGCCCATTTGATCAATTAATACCATGAGATACTTAGAAAAGAACCTCACTAATTAAAAATCATGTCCTCACAGGGATCTTTATTTTTTACTATTAAATTAGTAAAGAAAACAAACAAAAAAGTATTCAAGAGGTCTGCATTTTAAATTGCAAACATGGTAAGGTATGCTACATGTTTAGTCTCCTACAGTGAAGTAAGGAGAGATATTATGCAGTATTCAACATACTGTTCTTCCTGTCAAAATTCCATAAAGCTAAACGTTTTCTTCAAACAATCAGGTTTTGGATTAGGAAAATAAAAATCAATAGTTCTTTACCCAAAAGCTAATAAAATACCTACTGCACTAATACATCCAATAAACATTTGCTAAAGTTTACATCAACTCTGCTCATTTAGGAGTAAGCAACTGAATTATTTATATATTGCACATCTCCACCTAAAGCATTCAGCATGAAAAACTCCATTCTGGGATGTATAAACAAATGGGTCTCCACTGATTACTGAAAAGTAACCACCACCAAGATCAAACTTATGACAGCAATGTAATAATACTAACCACTACAGGCAGTGTATCTATCCATACTGAAGGGACAGTGAAAAAAAAAATCCCAATTAATTGTTGCTATAGATGCTAACTCCTCCAAGAAAGCACCTCTATTTTCTGCCACAATGAGGTGGGTCAAGTACATACACTATAGCAGATTAACACCTGTGCAACACAGAAACAACATGCATTAATCAAGGCTCCAAGTTCTCCCTTCATGAGCTTGACCCCAACTTCAGTGTGCTATAGCTCTGTAAGGCATCTTGTAAGAGATTCTTCTTACCTACTAAAATAAATGTTAATAATTGAGGTTCTTGTTTAATAAAATGTGAAAATGCATAAAATAATTAGTGTTATTTAATCTAATGCTACTTTCTATTTGTTTTACACTGTCTTTACATTTTCAGCGTACTGCAGAATAAGTGTGTAAAAGATGTCAATGGAAAGCTGGAAGAGAACAGATGAGCCGTTTGGAAAGGTACAAAAAAAAAAAAAGCAAGTTTGCAGGAAGAACAGAGTGGCTAGACATGAAAAGAATCAGTGAAAAACCAGCATCAAATTACTTAACACTGCACTGAACTGAATAAACTAGTCACTTTCAAGCAGTGATTTCTGATTGTCTGCAAGCAGACAAGATGTAATACACTAGGTATACAAACATAAGAAAAACATGTATAAAGACCCTGGAACATGACAGTGAAAATTCTGTAGCCCACCGACATAAGTACTTATGCAGAACAAATATTTCCCCTTCCCATGTATAGCATTAAAGAGACAGCTTACCCTTTCCACTTGTCCTTCTTTGTGCTTCAGTTTGTACACTTTCAGCTTCGGAAGGAAAGTTTCCATGTAGTTCTTATCTTCCATGCCTTGGAGCAGTACCCCATGGAACGCCAACCTGCAGGTATTTGCGTGAATATCTGTATCCAGCTTGGAGCCGATCACAAGGCACAGTTTAGGACAAGTAACTGGTTTTTCAAACTCTAGCAAAGCCCACTGCTGTCTTGGGAGCTGGACTTCTCCCTGGTCATTTTCTTTGTTTTCCTCTGAAGAATTTGAGTCCTTGGACAAATATTCCTCTTGATAAAGATAATCTTTTTCAAAATCAAAAACATCTTCTTGAATTTCTTCATTGAAGTCAGCAGGGGCTGGACTGAAAAACATCACTCTTCCCATAACTGTTTCATGACCAACTGTGATATGGAACTTGGCCTTGGTGTGAAGAGCTCCTCGAAAATACTGGATTTTCTTCAGGGAAATTATTGCAGCATGGATGGTGTGAAGCGATTCTGGGGTGCAAATTAGGCCTCGTTCTAGTAGTTTGGGATCAAACTGGGTTACACAGATACCTACTCTATCGCCCTGCATAGCATAAGTCACAGGAGTATGGAACATCTGCATGGACTTGACTTTCTTTGTCACCTATTGATGAAAGAGCAAGAAAAAAAATGAAGCAATTAATGGCACACAAGTGCATACAAGCACAAAGCCACATATCACACCCTGCTCTCTTGCAAGACAACTGACCTTCTAGAAGAGTCCACAATTCAAAAAGTAGAAACTGAACGGACTGAGAACATACCCCATCATTTAGAATTACCACAGGTTTGAGCCTCTTAGCTTATTCGACTTCTGTTCATGGCCACAATTATGTTCGATATTTGCATCATCTGTGCTGCAATACCTACATACTATCTGCAAATCAACAGATATACCCACACCATGGAATAGCTTACATAATGTACTCCCCCTAAGCACCTGCACCATCAAAAGTGTAGCACTACAATACCCATCCATGCACCTATGTGACTGTTTTCCCAAACCTTCCCATGAAAATAATTTCATACACTTCTTTGACTTGGTTGAATTCAACTGTAAAATATTCAGAACAAAAACCCTGTATTTGTACAACACTGAACACAATGAAATCTTGTAAACTATCAGTACAAAATAATTAGTTATACAAAAATCTGCCATCTCCTAGCCTATGACATTCCGTGTATTGAAAAAAAAAAAGTCCTCAAAGCTTTCTTGCTTATGAACATTTGAATGTTCATAAATATATGGCTAGCATCACTGTCACTAAAACGTGGGGTTCCATCTGTCAGGATTATTGTAGGAAAAGTGCAGCACTGGCCACCACTTAAAATTTATTTAGCTCTTCCTAGATGCTATAAAAGTTTGACCTTAATGAGCTTGCTATTGTATTATTTATTTCAAGGAGTTCTCAAAGAGAAGAGAAGAATGAAATAAGCTTTTAAAGATCAGTCTAGGCTCAGCTTGATCAGACTAAACCAGTTTAGTTTAACAAGGCTTCATTTTGGCTTTTCTTTCAGTTCTGCAAACCATCCTTTCATAACACCCCCCCCCCCCGTCTCTCCATGTAAACACCTTTCAAAACCCCCCCCCCCCCCAGTTTGCATGTAACCAAATGTTTTTTCTGACAATATCTTTATCTTGCCACCTGTTGCATTCACACTAATGCTGGATGCTTGGATAGGTAGCCACTCTGCTTGAAGTCCCTACGTTACATTCCAAGCTTTTAATAATGACATAGTTTTTTTGGCAATAAAAAAATATTTATCTCCTAAATAAATATTGAGCACTTGGACTATAGTCCTTAGTATAGAAAGGTTATACAGAACATGTTTTTGCAGGGCTGAAACCTCAAAACTCAGATCTAAGAACTGAACTCTCCATTAGAATTCTCCATTCCAGAGATCATTTCCTTAGTATGTCTTTATCAATATACAATAGATTATACTGTGAATACATACAGAACAACATTGCTAGAACACATCTCAACTCTGAGTATAACTTTCTTCTCTCTCCCTTTTCTTAGTACCAATTCTACAGCTATCAAAAAGGTTCACATCAAATGCTACTGTGCAATTCTCAGCATTCAAGCCGACAGTATCTGTCTTACTCAGCCGGAATTGTTCCCAAATCAATCTCCGACCACTGCATATCCCTTAGTAGCCCATCTTCTAATCCTGGCCCACCCAATTTATCTTCCAACTCCTGAAAGTAAGAAATTAAAATACACAAGCACTGATGAAAAGAATCCCAAACCAAAGGATTGAACTCAGCAGACCTGTGCTTCATTCCCAGTACGTCACACAGTGTAGAGCACATCATTTAGGTTAGACAACTCGGAACAGTCTAGAGAAGTTAACCTTATTAATGTTAATCACAGAATTATTTATTCACAGGATAATACTGAAAGTATCAGCTTTTTTCTTGCATCTTGGAGGCAACGCCTAAGTGGAAACAAAATTATGGGGTTTGCCTTTTTCTTTTCTACAAAGCCTACTGACCTACATGAAGGACATGGTACTTGGCTCCAAATCTTTTTATGTCTATTCCCAACATCACCAACCTAAGCAATACTAAGAGAAGACTGTAGGAAAAAAAAAAAAAAAAAGGAAGAAATATTCAGAGGGGAACAAATTCCAGAAACTTAGATCAAAATAGAGGAGTAGATGAAAAGTCTGTTGGCTTCAGTAACTGGAGTATAAAGACCTCTCCAAGTAAGCAAAAAATGGTCACAGGCCATATACAGAAAGCTGATTAAAAAAAGGGAAAAAAAATCTAGCAGCTGCATGGCTTCTAGAAAACAACAAAAATCCTGTATTCCTTCTTGAAATCATAATTATACAAACAACAGTGGCCATAAGCTTCACCACTATAAATATTGTTTGGGTTCCCTGGATCCCTGGCTGCTGGCCAAAACCAAAAGAAACATCATTTTTCAGATTGTAAGTTATTATTACAACATTTTTCAAATCAAATGCCGCATCACAATTCTTGGAAAATCCACAGATATTATGAGAAAGAAGATCAAGAGGTGTGTTCATCTAAAAGAAAAACCCCTCACTAAAAAGCCAGAACCAAAACAGTTTGGTATGATCTTAACTAATGTCAGAACAGACTTAAAAGGCCATTCTAAATACTCACTAGGATTTCAGTTTCAAGCATTTTCATACTTAAATATATACCCATTACCCCTTCAGCCGGACCTCCTAGACAGTACAACCTATCTAGATGGTTTGGAGAGAAACAATTTAGCATTTACCTCCACCTCTCCATTCACTTCCAAGGTTGTACTTCTGAAGGCTGGAAGTATGGTGGCTTGAATCAAACGCTTCCTTCTTTCATTCACTACAACCTACTCCTCCCCTCTCCAGTTTCAATCATTGTGATAGTTGCAACACTGGTGATACAAGTTATGTTTGAGGACTTTAAAAAAAAAAATAGAAGGTTTTTCTAAATATATGTGTGTTTCAAAGAAATAAGCACTATAAGATTGAAATTGCCATATGAAAAGTACCAGTCCAAACCATGGGGGTGTGTGATAATGCTGGCAGTAAATCTTGCATCTTCTACAACCATGGACAGGGAGAATAAACTGAGAAGAACTAAGGAATCTTTCATCCCTGATGCTCCCCAACACAAAACCAGAACTGGAAGATGCACAAAAGATCTATGTGGTTTTCTACCTTAAACAGAGCCACAATACAAAGATTTTTTTTTCTTTATTATTAATATTCCAGTTTATAATATTACTTTTTAGAAACTACCCACCTAAACAGTTGAGTGAAATTGTTACAGAAAATATTTGCCAGTCTCTAAAACAGTCTACATATATTAATCTGAAACATGTTTCACAGAACTCAGAATAAAGAATGAAGATTGTGTTTAAAAATACCTATTCTTGTATGCATATACTTAGAATACATCTTAGCTTTTAAGTAGGAATCTATGAAACATTCCTCAAAAGTGTTATGCCTACTCTCTCCCCTTAAATTAACTCAAATGATTCATCTTGATACATCTGACATGCAGCCTATAAATAACAATCAGAAGGAGAATTAACAAGTAATTTTAAAATATTCACTTCATGTGATTAAACTTTTTCAGTGAGATTTGCCATTCTCAACCATGGCATACAGAGCTGCCTTGTATCAGAATACTAGCTGTGCTCTTCCACATTTCTCAGTGTTAAACTACATTAAAAAGAATATACAACTGTAAAGTGTCACTTTCCATGACAAAAGCTTGCTGTAACTCCTATGCGTAGGAGAAACTTTGCAGTGAAGTATCGATACAGGAGTATTTTCCTGTGTTGCATGAGGCTTTAACAGGATGGCTCCTGTTCATACATTTGCTGATGGTCCTCCCAGTCTCCAATGCAAGTTCAAGAAATGTCTTGGATCCTGACTAATTCTCTTTCAGAAAACACTATCCTAGTTAAAAAAAAAAAACACTGAAAATTTGCAGAATCATGTAAAGCAGAGCTTTTTCCCCCCAACCAAAGCAGATTATCTGTGCTGCCTGCAACTCTCTCATGGGTGGCAAGCCCCCCACCCTGGCTGCACTCAGCCAGAGCTTTAAGAATGACTTCTTTGTAGCTGGGTCTGGCTTTCAGACAGGTCTGCTTGTCCTCAGATCCGTGAGGGGGAAAATACTGCATTACTCAACCTACTGAAAATCAGCACCTCATGCTGACCTATCCAGTACCTTGCAGATGATTTAATCAGCCCATCTATATTTGTTTTAAATGGAAACATTTTTCCCCCCTTATATTCATGGTATCTATTTTTGTATCCCATTCACATATAAGAGGACAGAAGAAAAAGCAAATGGGAAGAACACATTCAAGGCCATTCCTTCTTTTCCTACATGTTCTCGGTATGGGAATCAACTGTAAAAGGAGTATGCAGCACAGTATCTTAACTGACCATAAACTCTGTTGGAAGAGCATAATGTATGCAGCAATTAGAAACTGAGCAGAGCAACACTAGAGTGCGCTTAGGTGACTAGGGGAGATGGATTAGATCACACAAGAACCAAGTTGGAATTGCATCTCCTTCAAAAGGTCAGATGTGGAATCAGCAGAGAGAAGTGAATCAGTGAGTTGATCTGCACCCACTGGATCAAATAACAAGAGCCAGAGTAGCTTTAAATCACTAACTTCCTGTTTTCTGAGCAGACCATGAACATCAGTATGGTATTTCATTCCATTTCACTCTGACCCCAAGTGACAAAGATGTTTGTCCATGGTTTAAAATACTCCAAATGTAGGGTTGTGGTTTTTTGGGGGGGGGTTGTTGTTGTTGTTTGTTTTTGGGTTTTTTTTCAAGACACTGAAGTACATAACATGTTTTGTCTGGCCTTTAAAATACAAACCTGGAAGCACTGAAAAGGATGCAACTTGCCCTCAGTATTAGATTTGTTTCTCTTATGCATATCTAGTTTCCCTATGCAAGGGATCCCACAAGTTATAGCACAGTTCTAAACTTTCACATATTTTCTTTAGCTTTAGAGCAACAGAAGTTTCACATAGGGAGTTGGGGCTGGATCACTCAGTCCACCCACCTACCAAGAGAATGACGTTAAATACGTCACAGCATTCTGTCCTG